ACCACTCAATCTACCATCAATCATTGTCAAAGAATGACAGGTTGCCATGGCAGCTAACATAGGTTTTTGAGAAATATTTTCTGCATTTGATACCACTGTGCCAAATCTGAAACAAAAATAATCTAATGAGAAGCGTTCACATAAATCTACACCAGAATTTTTGGTATGCTGTTAGCATCTCTGCAGGTGACAATAGGTTACAGTACCGGGTTAAACCAACCCAACTGGAATTGGAAGTGAAAACAAAACTATCAGCAAGCCACACAAAAGTAAGCATTTAAAACATAAACTTCAATATCTGGGTCATCTGCAGCCACACATAAAGCAAGCATAAGTACATAAATAAATGAATAAAGGGGGTAAGTTGCTAACGAAACTGTGGAGCTGTTACATGATATATTACATAATAATTTGGTTTTCTTAACTGAATTGATAATGGAAATTGGCCATGGTAAAGAGTTTCTACAGCTGACATTTGGAGCGTTAGCCACTGGAAACGTCTGCATCAGAAACTCTTCACCATGGTCAATTTTCACTTTCAACTCAGTTGATAAAAACAGAATTATCTTATAAAGCACACACACCTTGCAGATTGCACTGGCAATACTCCCAGGAGATTTAAACCATCTTCTGTTAATGTTCCAGTCTGCAGTAAAATAGAAACTCACACTTTGCTCACATGTACATCAAAGGCAAAGACTACTTTTTAAAGAAGGGTTAAAGGAGTCTATGCAAATGAAGCTGTGTGGATAACAGTACAAATAATCAAACCATGAATGCGTATGTAAGTTTCCTCATTTATGAGGAAAATATGATGTATTGAAGATCTGTAAAATAGCAGAACACCTTGATATGATTGTGTGGGCATATGATTTCAATTTTTCCTTTTTTCTGCATCTTTTCTTCATTAACCTCAAATAGCGGACCTCTAGTTGATTCTGGAATTTCTTTATGGTGCTTTTACTCTCTGAGGCTTGTAGCTTAAATTTCAATTTAGCAATCAGAGTAATGCAGAGATATAAATTTACCTTATTATTCCTTTCCCACCTTACCTTATCAAAACAGATCAGCTTGAGTTTTCCACAAACACTGATTCTAAATCAAAGCAAGCACATAGGGTTAATTAATATCAATGGACTATACAAAGGGAGTGAGACTTGTCCGTCTAACACAAACATCTAATTTGGTTTCCCATAAAAAGAAGGGAAAATGATAGTGAGAAAAGGACATCACCCAAATCTCCTTCTTGGTTGTCTCAACAAACCTGGAAGACATAGCTCATTGGTGAAATATGTGCTCCACATACTTCTCACCAGGTACTGAGAAGTGTGGCCTCTGACAATACTTAAAAGACAGTACTCCAGGTTCTCCAACTAATTGCAAAAAAAGGTTCCCTCATCATTAACGACCTAGAAGGAGCTGTATGTAACCACAAAAAAAGTTTCCAATCTCCAAATATGCAGACACCTCCAAATTGAACCCATTACTCACTTGCCCTCAGCTCTAATATGGAAACGAGGCTCTGTAAACAAAACTATTCATTTGAGTATTTCTATTGATGAAAGAAGTGATTGGTTCAGACTTCAAACAGCCTTGTAATAAAATTTACTAAAAAGTAGAGCATTGTTAACTCCCAAAATTGTAAACTATAACATTTAATTATTTAAAAAATTCTCAATTTCTGTTGCTGATTCAAGTTATCAGGACTTTATAGTATCAATTGGAAGGATTAATGGCATCCATGAATGATCTGTTGAAGAATATAATCTGAATTTACATCACTTCTTTCATAGAAAATATTGCAATTCGATTATTGTTTCTATAACAGAAATTAAATGCACCTTGAGGGATTGATACAGTAGATCTGTTTTTTCTTCAACCTCTGTAGAGCATAAACAATCCCCACGGACATTGCTGCAGGTAAAGCAGGTGGAACAGCAATAGTGATGATGTCTAGAGATCTCACCAAAATTTTCCCAACAGACATCTGATGCGCAAAAAAATGCATTGGTTTCCTCTAAATTGATAATACCTTATAGCTTGCCATTTGAGAATTCTAAATCACTTTTGTTCCTACATCTAACTGAAAAAGTTATTAACAGAAGTCTTGCATCTGTTAATCCATTCATTAAAGCAAAAACAGTGAAGGGAAAAAGGATTTGAAACGATAATTACTTTCAAGGCTATAGGCTCTGTTAGACAAAGACAGACTGGGACAAGGTGTTCCCAAGGGTGCTGAGTGTTGTGATACAAGGTGAATGCACTAGAATGAATGGCAGATTCTGGTATCTTGCTCTATGTGATTACAACCTTTTCAACTGAAGTGAGAAGTTTTGCTATTGTTTTCTCTTGTAGAACCTTAGGTTTTGGTTGATAGAAATTAACAAGTCAAGCCTTAACCCCCTTGTTGGCTGAATTTATGAAATTTATAGAGAACATGCTCTGCTCTATAGGTTACTAAAAATGTATAATTTATGTAAAAGCACTGACCCCATTCACCACTGAGATGTACACACTGTACGAAAATCCCACCATTGCTAAAATTTTGAGAAAAACAAAGTTGTAAGTTATCATACATCAACAAACAGTAAACATCATTCATTCATCTTAGTCTTTTTATGAGCCTGGAAAAGTTATGTCCAGCAGTGACCATCATCTAAGGTAAAACTGTCTCACTCTTATGTGCTGATCAGGTTGAAGCTTCAACATCCCCTCAACCATCTCCTGGTGACCCACAGGCACTTGACTGTTGACCACCCTCCATGCCTGGGGGGGCAGGGAATTTGAACCTTGCTTGCATGGGGTGGGAAATTTGAACCTGAACTGTCTGGTCATTCCAATGGAATAAATGTCTATCTTATTACTATTTATTGTTAAATACTACAGTATTTAAAGGAAAAGAGTTCACTTTCACAAGCAAATGGCTAAGATGGAAAGGTATACAAGAAAGTCACAGTCACTGATCTTGCCTTAACAAAGAAATTGACCTTGAAATCCAGCACTTTGGTAATACATTTGAGCACAATTTTGGACCATGGGGGAGGAATTTTAACAAACCAATTTTAAAAAGTTTAAGGACTTCGGGGGTTCACCGGAGCAAGGATGTTGAAGCTTCAAATTGATTGATGCATCATCTTGAAACAAAAGAAAGTACATGTGTATGAGTCATTCAAAAAAGAGCTTGCATTGCTGAGCATGCTTCCTGCAGGAACATTTAATGAAAGTTAACAATTTAAACCCACTATGAATAATTTAAGTAGATATACAATGAGCAGGTCCTGAACTGATGCTTAAACATAGAGATTTCCTACAATAGACATTAGCAGAGATCAACCAAAAACTTCATACAGCACAATGCAATATTAGGATGGATCCTACCAAGAATTGTCATAAGGCCAATAAAACGCATAGAATCACGGAAGAATTTGAAGCCAACTGGTTTTGGACTAAGAATGGAACGCATTAAGCCACCCTTGGTTGTGGAGAATCCTGAAGATTCAAAATTAGACAGAGTGAGTGTGGTTGTCAAAATTTGACATGCATGAACACTATACTTCATGTATTATACTACCCAAGTCTGCCAGTGTCTTTGTAAGAGCACTTTGCCATATAGAGAAGAAAAGAATATTCAGGTACTTCTGCAAAGTTTAACATGTCAACTTTTGTAGGATATTTATTTCTTTTGCAGGTACATATAATGACAGTTAGACATGGTAAACAAATAAGAACACAATACTTTCTACATTCTACAACTTTCAAGTTCAGGACCATAAGTAATGTAAGGATTTATGCTTCTTTGTAGTGTAAAGAGGTGAAGAAGAGAGCTTTACATCATTCTTTCAGCAAGCAAATGATGGTGGTTGGCTCTGTATCCTTGAAGCAGTTGCATCAGAATGATCCTTAAAGTTTCCCAGGAGTAGGGATTTCATCACATAGATCAATACAGTTCCACTTAATACAGGTTCAACAAGTTTTGATAAATTAAAAACTGTTCACATGCATTTTCTACATAGAATATCATTAAACAGAGCTCATACATGTCCATCTACCTGTTCTAACAACAACTGCTAGCACCCTGACATTCCCATAGTAACGGGTTTGTATGACATTGGTGCCATTAAAGAGAGTGTGTCTCTTGTGCCGTTCTGGGCTATACTGGTCTTCTCTCTGTTCCAAAGGACTGTTTGATAATCTCTTTATATAAGGCAATGGAATCTTTGTGACTGGAACACTTTCACCTGTATGACATAAAAACAATTGTTAGCCTGCCCATTTCATTTGACTGTAAGAGTCAGAGTGAGCTTAAAACAAAGTAGCCCCCTGCCTTTTAAGGCCCCCACTGCAAATGACAAAGGGAACAGGGAAAGTGTTACATCATCAGTTTCACTTGCGCAAGCTCAAGAGTAGTCCATTTAGAAGTTGTAACGTCACAAACTGGGATTATGTGGAGGTGAGATACCTATTCTATACAGGACATTGATGAAGGTGGAGAAAACCTGACAAGGGTGAAAAGGAGATTGGATTTTACTAAAGCCCAAGCATGGAGGCGATGAAAGAAAGAGTAGGTCCACAGCCTAATGGAAAACCACTGGCCATAAAAGGAACTTGACACAACACCTACAGTTGGGGAGGTCGTTCTCATTGTTGGAAATGAGAAGAATTGTGGGAATAGAGGAAGGGAAGGGTGTTAGGCCTTGTTCAAGGTAAGGATGGAGTGGTTAGAGGCATGGTCCTGCTGCACAAGAGACACAGCATTACCAACCTCTTCAGGAAGTGTGCCCATTGGAGATTCGAAAAGCAAGTCAAATCAGCCCCCCGAAAGCAGAGGGGAAGGGATGAAGCCCAGCCCAGAAAAAAAGAGTGCAGAGTTCCACAGCTGAAGAGAAGCTCAAAGAATCTAAATGCAAATGCAAATGCAAATGCAAGCATCATAACTGTAAATATAGTTGGTGTCAATTATAGGGTTGTTGTGATTGACTGGTTGCAGACCCAAGACAGGTTGCAGACCCACTTTTCCTTTGAGGGGAGGTCTAAATAAGAACATGAAAATGTGCAAAGAATGAGAGCTACATCGTTTTTAACTACAAAATTGTGAAAGGGTACTGTGAGCCTTTTTGCTTAAAAGGATAAAAAATCACATCGTGTTAAGTCTCCGGTTGAGTATTTGGGACCAACTTATGGTGAAACTCACATTTGGGCTGCATGTTTTCAAGCTAACTATATAAAAAATTTTGAACTAATGACAATGTTTTTCTTTTAACTCATAGATGCTATGACTGCATTTGTATTAGTTTTTATCTAACCTAAACATTAGATACATTACTACACACATTCCTCATAGTAACACAACCTATTTACCTTAATGGAACTAATGAGAATATTCTATCCATATTTGCAATAATTTTTGTCTAATTTTTTACCTGTTAGCATGCTCTCATTGACAATACAGTTACCACTAATAAGGACAGAATCACAGTGAACTTGTGCCCCATTAGGTGGAATGACCAGCAAATCACCAGGAACAAGTTCATCAGATGATACATCTATTTGATCTGTGTAATTCAAGGTGAATTTTAGTTTCTCTGTCAACATTGGCAAATGGCAATAGGCCCCTCAGTCAAAAGTGTTTTTCAGCTGCAACAGATGAGCAGAATTTACAACCATGAACACAAGATCTAATGACAAAACCAGAAAAGTCTTCTATGAAATTCTCTTTGATCTTGGGTTAAGAATTACAGCATGGAGCAACTAAAAGGTGGACAATTTGTTAGATGTCACCATCAACCTGAAAACTAACGAACATTACCCACTCAGAGAGCCTGACAAAAATTCCTTGTACATCAATTTTCAACAGGAATTTCAACTTCATAATGCATCACAAACAAATTATGAAAAGGATAGGTTTGACTTGGTCTGCAACTTCTTTGCACTAAAAAAAATTATGAACTATTTGATACAAAACATGGGAAATGTTATAGCTGTTCAGTATGATGAATACACTAATATCAAAGAACTTTTAACTTGTCCCATAAAGTAGCCAGTGCTGATGTGATCAAGATATTTCCACTACATACTGCTAGTCATTTAATTGGAAAATAGAGAATACTAATTTCAGGTAAACTTTTGAAGCATTATGCTCAACTCTGATTGGTTGGTTCCCTAACAATTCCATTTTGATTATACTTATTGGTACCAAATCAATGTGGTTGTTGTCAACTTTCTCGTACATTTAAACAGAGTACCTGCATTATTTCGCAGCACAGTGACTCTCTCTGACACTGCCACCATGCTTCGCAATCTCTCAAGATGCTGTTGAAAAAAAAACTTACTTAGTCATATGATTGCACAATTAACACTGCATAATATTATTAATAAATTTGGGTAAATGTGAAGTTAATTCTGATTTATAAATAAATAATGCTTGCCGAAATAAAGTGCATAGATTTTGAGCTGGGATGTCACTTCTCTCAGACTCCTTGCAATATAATAGCATCCTGTGGGAAGTTACATGGTATCATGCATCAGGGTATATGTGCCATTGCAAATCCAAGAGAGAAGAAAAATGGAGCAAACATTAGAACCACTACAAATGATCCAGCTGAGAAAAAGACCCAGGCTGATAGTGGTACTCAAGACAGAGGTCACAGTTTTTCTCAGTAAGGACTGACCTTGGCTAGTCAAGGTCTAGGGAATTTCTTGCAGAAAAAAAGAATTTAGGGCTATAATTGTGGCATAATTCTCAATAACCTGACCAAAGAAACATAATGCAAGGTACAAATTAAAACATTTTTATATGCATTATAATACAACTGATTTAAAAGGCTTGTCAAACCCATAAACCACCAAACAAATGTCACAGGCCAGATTTTTTCAAGCTAGAGTCCATAATGGTTTGTTTCATATAAACCAGTTTGGTGCAGGCTTGCCTGAAATTTAGCAACCACAATGAAACAGCTCTTTTACATTGGATTATACAGGTTTATGGGGAAAGACAAGTAGTGCATGGCTTACCACTTTTGTTTGGTATACTGTGATTGTTATTGAAACCACTGTGACTATCAAAATGGCAAGAGCATAGTAGTAGTAATCCTCAGTTGACCATAAAACAATGCTGCAGAACTGGAACACATAGAAGGGATCTGCAACCTGAAACAATATTGGGTACAACTATAGTATCATAATATTCCTGATGAGTATCATAATCCTCTGATATCTATATCTATCTATCTATCTATCCATCCATCCATTCATCCATCCATCCATCCATCCATCCATCCATCCATCCATCCATCCATCCATCTATCTATCTATCTATCGATCTACAGATCTTTATCTATCTATCAATCCATTGATCTGTTGATCTATCGATCCACCCATCCATCCATCCATCCATCCATCTATCTATCGATCTATCTATTTATCTGACAGTAAGTATGAAGCACGCTCTCCTTTAGTATTTCGTTTATTCATCAGTACTACAGTACTAAAAGTACGTATCTAGCACTGTTCAATATGCTGTTCTTGCCCATTATAAGCCTGAAACTTTAGCTTTCTTTTATCTGTTTAACTACATCTGTGCTAAGGAATGATTAATTAATGAAATTAACCAAGCCGCGATGAGTTGTCCTTTCCGAGTACTAAGGTACCAACGTACTAGCGCACTAAAAAAATGAAGAAAAAGCCATGAGGAGTTGTTCGTACCGAGTCAGGGCGTGAAATTGATTTTTTTTTCCTGATAGCCACTTGGCTCCTAAATTCTTCAAAGTGGTAGCCGATTCAAAAAAAGTTGGTCGCCATTTTCAAAGACAAACAAACCCTTTTTTTACGCTGTCATCGTTCTAGAAATTAAGTTAGGGAAAAGATCTTTATAACAAAGTGGACAATAGAATGGATGATATGCAACGTTCAAGCTCACCTGAATCCAAGATGGCGTCTAGTTATCGATCGAGATACACGTGCTGCGTTTTGGAAACAAACTTAACGAGGAAGTTTGCCGCAGTTTATCTTTGCAAATCTTTTTAATTTACTATATCTCTAGGTAAGGTTATGATGAAACATTCTAGTCGCCAATTTGGCGACTAATTTTCAGGATTTGTTCGTCAAAGTAAAAAATTTAGTCGCATTGGCGCCTGTATTAAGTACTAAGGTACTAACGAATTACGGTTAGATCGCACCATGGTTAGATCGCTCCCAGTTAGATCGCTCCAATCAAAGGTTAGATCGCTCCACTCGAAAGTTAGATCGCTCCATCAATATAAGTTACTTCGCTCCCAACATAAGTTACTTCGCTCCATGTAGAAAACTAAGGTAAAGGTAGCAAAACTAAGCTATCTAAATTCATAATTCATCAAATGACGTGTATATCTTACTTAACAATCGATTAATATCGCTCGCGCGCGCTTGAAATAAATCTGAGTTACGCAGAGAGAACAAATGAAGCCTCATGTAACGGACTCACGAAGTGTAACCACGATCATTTATTCCATCATCGCTATACTTCTAGTCACCTATATATATATAGGTGGTTAATCTGATGGACAGAGTGAATACAATGTACTCGAATCGTCGCAAGACACATCATCAACTATGAACTTTAAAGATCATTGCTAAGCAATACTTCACATTACAACATGAAACGAAGTACCTTGTTGGTAGCGAAGTAACTTATTTGATGGAGCGATCTAACTTTTGGTTGGAGCGATCTAACTGGGAGCGATCTAACCATGGTGCGATCTAACCGGATACCGTACTAACGTACTAGCGCTCTACACAAATGAAGAACAAGCCGTGATGAGTTGTCTGTACCGAGTACTAAAGTACTAACGTACAAGCGTACTAACCAGATGAGCAACCTGTGGTGGGCGTTCATACCGACTACTCCAGTATTAATGCACTGGCGCCCGTAACAAGTGAACAACAAGCCAACGTGAGTTCCCGTTCTGAAAGCGTAAAACATAAACCACTGATTGACGCGGAGCTCATTATGAACACACAGGACACTCAAAGTTCACCCACTATCTTTTCCTGAGTTTCCTTCAAAGAAGACACGTGCTCTGCTTTTACTGTTGTCCTCTCATCGTCACCATCGTTTCCTTATCGTTTATGACGCTTTTCTCGAGAAACCGTCGATACCTCACAGCTGCCTCAACATTCTTTCTGTTCAGTTCCCTGGGTTCCACAATCAATACTGAGTAGAAAACTCTAGCAAGACACTTGTTCCAGGATAACTTTTCCCGTGGCATTCCTCGTGTAAACTATATTGGAACTGTAGTTACCACGCCGAAGAGAACGCATTTTATGTGATATATTTTTGCTTTGAAAGGTATAACAGATTACGGCGTTTTTGCACAGTATTCGTTAAAGGTTGCACTTTCCCTAGGGTGGATTTTCAGAGAAACCATATTGCGCATATCATAGTGATTATTTCTTCTTTTTCTATGCTTGAGCGAGCAATTGATAGGAATGAGTTAACTCCTGGTCCAGTCGCTAGTATCTGTAGTTTCATGAATTGGACCATTCGTGGATGTTCCTCTCTAACTCTTTAGCCGGCTAACGTTGTTAATGCACTATTCGTGTGTTTATGTGTTCATTCAGCTACGCTTTTCATTATAAATACCAATCCTTGAACAACTACAACTGATACGTTGAATGGTCAAACAAGATGAAATTATTCAACTGGATAACATGCAAAAATTAACTGAACTGGTTCAACTGGATAAAATGGAAAAACTAGCTGAAATGGTTCAACTAATTAAAATGGTAAAACTAGTTAAAATGGTCCAACCAAACAAAACGCACAACTAGCTGTATAGGCTCAACTGGTTTAGTGGTCAAAATAGCTGAATATATGTCGCATAACTGAACGCGTTCTCTTCGGCGTGGTAACTACAGTCCCAATATAGTTTATACGAGGAATGCCACGGGAAAAGTTATTATGGAACAAGTGTTTAGTTGAAGTTTTCTACTTATCATTGATTATGGAACCAAGGGAACTGAAAGTTGAGGCAGCTATTAGATATCGACCGTTTCTCAAGAAAAGCGTCATCAACGACAAGGAAACGATGGTGATGATGAGAGGACAACAGTTAAAGGGCACGTGTCCTCTTTAAAGGAAACTCAGGAAAAGATAGTGAGTGAACATTGAGTGTCCGGCGTGTTCACAATGAACTCTGCGTCAATAAGAGGCCGTCTAAAACGCTCTCAGAACGGGAACTCACATTGGCTTGTAGTTCATTTGTTACGGGCGCCAGCGCATTAATACTGGAGTAGTCGGTAAGAACGCCCACCACAGGTTGCTCATCTGGTTAGTACGCTTGTACGTTAGTACTATAGTACTCGGTACAGACACTCACCACGGCATGTTCATTTGTTTAGTACGTTAGTAATGTAGTACTCCATACAGACAACTCATCACGGCTTGTTCATCAGTTGTTTAGTACGTTAGTATGTTAGTACCTTAGTACTCGGTACGGACAACTCATCACGGCTTGTTCTTCATTTGTTTAGTGCACTAGTACGTTAGTACCTTAGTACTCGGTACGAACGAGTCATCACAGCTTGTTCTTCATTTGTTTGGTTTCACTAGTACGTTAGTACTGTAGTACTCGGTACGGACAACTCATCATGATTTTTTCTTCATTTGTTTATTGCGTTAGTAGGTTAGTACCGTAGTACTCGGTACGGACAACTATTTACGGCTTGTTCTTCATTTGTTTGATGCACTAGTACGTTAGTACTGCAGCACTCGGTACAGACAACTCATTACGGCTTGTTCTTCATCTGTTTAGTGCACCAGTACGTTAGTACTGAAGTGCTCGGTACAGACTGATTCAAAAATATTCCCGACAAGCACCTACACACCTTCACCGTATTCGACATCGAAAGCTTCTACCCTTCAATATCTGAAAAACTACAAACCAACGCTATCCACTTCGCCAGGAAACACACCAAGATCACCAAGACACTAATATTATCATGCCCTCCTGAAAATCAATCCTACTTCACAACGGATCACCTTGGGTGAAAAAAGACAACGACGGTATGTTTGATGTAACAATTGGAAGCTTTGACAGCGCAGAAGTATGCAACCTAGTCGGACTTTTCATCTTGAACAACCTCGCAAACAAATAAGGAACAAACAACATTGGAATTTACAGGGACGACGGACTCGCCATTTTCAAGAACACAACAGGACCTCAAGCAGAAAGAACACGGAAAGAGTTAACTAGGCGCTTCAAAGAACACGGACTGAAAATAACAATCCCAAGCAACTTAAAATCAGTCGACTTCCTCGATATCACACTCAACTTGACGAGCGGTCTCTTCCAACAGTAAAGAAAACCGAACGACAAGCCGCTTTACATCAACGCAAAATCTAACCACCCACCCACTGTCATCACACAAATACCTGCAGCCGTCAATCGTAGATTATCAGCCTTATCATCTAACAAAGAAACATTTAACAAAGCCAAGCCTCTCTGCGACAAAGCCGTCAGATCAAGTGGATTCAATACAAACCTTCATTACTACAAGAAAACTTTTCTTGTGAAAAAAAGAAATAGAAAACGAAACGTCTGTTTAACCCCCTATACAGCAACAAACCAACGTAGCTAAAACCTTCCTCAACCTAATCAAGAAACACTTCCCACCAAATCACAATCTGCACCCCGTCTTTAACAAGAACAACGTGAAAGTCAGCTACAGTTGTATGCTGAACATGGGCAGCATCATCAACAAACGCAACAAGAAAATCCTTACCAACAACAACACCACACCGCAAAACGGATGCAACTGTAGAAAAAAAGATCAATGCCCGCTAGACAACAACTGCCTCATCACCAGTGTAATCTACAAAGCTAACTTGACCACAGACACAGACGACACAGGAGACACAGGAAAGAACTACATCGGACTAACTGAAGGAACATTCAAACAACGATATACGCAACACAAACTATCATTCCGTGGTTGGAAACCTATAATGAAAATGTATGTATCACCAGGGCTTCCTTCAATTGCAAAATGGTGACCATAAAGAAATTTTAATCGCCTCCTTCAGTGCCCCTCCCTGCAAACCCGTCAAACCCCCCTTCCCCCACCCTCCCCACACACACACACCCCAAAAAAGAAACTCATATCAATAAGAGGACATTTCATGTTTCATTGCATGATTAAAGTAGAGTAAGAGAAAATCCTTACCTCTTCAAGGAAAAGCCTCCAATATGACTTTACAGTAACATCAATAACATTTGGGCCATACATTTTCTGTCTGTCAAAGACAAAGAGACCTCCCTTCTTAATATTGCATATCCAAACAGGAAGTTACAGGGTAAATATACACTATTTACTTTTGCATGGATTTTTGCCTGATTGCACCATCAACAATGACAAAATGATGCTTGCTCTTGATGGTTATGGCTGGCCTGAAAGAGGTTGCTCATAACTTTTGGAAACAAAGCATGGTAAAATTTTTCCTCTTGTTTTCAATCCTTTTTTAAAAGTTTTGTAATTTCAGTTTTATAAATCAAGACTTCTACTTAAATTGTGCAAAATAAGAAACAATAAATTGTTCAAACTGTTACTTAAAATAAATTAAGGTAAGTTTTCAAAATATATATATATGAGATGCATAAAAATGAACAACTAAAGGGCAAAGTTTGATATAAATGTGAGTGGCAATTTTATCTCAGAGGCATTACCTTGATAAAGAGCTAAAGTCAAAGACACACACAAGCACCCAGTAGCAGAAATTATAGGAGTTGTGGGAAAAACCAGTAACTTCCTGACTGAAGTCACTGAATCTTATCAAAATAGTCTTGATAATTTTATTCTAGTGCATAATTTATTTGAACATGGCACCTCACATTGGCTTTATTAGCCTTCTTGTCTCCCTATCCAACAAGTACTATATTCTATAACGATTGCAGATACTCTTTGCTAATACTGTATGGATTCTCTTTACATCCCCTGCTATCAAGTACATGTAACATTGAAGATAGTTACCGAGGATGGGGCCTCGTAAAATGTTGAATAGAGCACCGTGCCCAAAAGAACATGACGCACAAATTATGACTGATTATGCAATTGAAGCCCTGGATTTGACATGGGGATATAGCTTTATTTTATAACAATCTGTTATGTTGTAATACTGTCACTGTTGTGCATCTTCCTACCTGAAAGCTGGGAATTATGAAGCTTGTTTGACATATGTTTTACACAAGTTTTAAGGTTACAGTTCAAATGGTTGAAGTCATACTATTGTCTTTTATTTTGTATCTTTATACATGGGGACTTAGTAAAGAATTTGGTAACTTAAGCAACAAGTTAGGAAGGGTCCTGTCTTGTAGCAGAAAATGTATGAAGATATTTTTGTAGCTCTTTTGGTAATCAGCAATCGCATACCCAAGGTCCTACTGTCACTGAGATAATTCATGAGTTTAAAATATCATTTAGCTGAAATCGATTACCTTTTAGGTAATTACAGTCAACTAAAGAGATGAATATTGTCATAATAAGTGTGGAGAGGGAACAAAAAATAGCCACAGTTAACTTACCAAGGTGGATTTCTACTAAATTGTCATCTGCAATCACTAGATGCTTTAATATTCCTGCCGCAGTTCATTTTTTTAATCAAAAGTAACACATGGTGATTGCTGAAAATTGAAACTTAGGTCTAATGCAGTTTGACAGAGCCATGTCTTGCGTGACAAATATTAAGTAGCACATGGTTCTGATTACATTCACAGTCATAATTTATGCATCTTGCTCTTTTTGGCACAATGCTCTATTTGGCATTTTACAGGCCTACTGTTCCAAGTCTTTATCCAAGAAGCCAAAAGACTTGAATGTCAAACCATTAAATGACCTCACCAGAAATTTTTAATCTCTTCTGTCGTAAGCTCTGACACTAATGAAAATGTTAATCTTAAAGTTCAGTTTCATTTTAAAATAAGATACAGTGTACATTCTTGTAATAGCAAAACACCATTGTAAAAAAACAACAACAGACTTTCTTCTTCAAAATAAAAATTTTGGAGCACCAAATGAAAATAAATTAAAGATTAAGAAAGCTTGAATTTCCAAGAATTAGACATGAGACAAAATGATTTCGCTATTCCACTTAAAGATGTACAGCAATCACCAGAAATTGCCCATACATTTCTAATGAGACTCTACCACATTTGGATAATGTGACCATTTCATTTTCAGGTGTTTTCCCGGTCCACTGAAAATAATCTCTTTGCATGTTTAAAAACCATTTTGAATAAATTTGTTCGGAATTTTTACTGTTAAGAATGTACACAGGAATTGAGGTGATTCTACTGGATGACAAGAAGTAAGACAATCTGATATCCACAAATAATTTGTTAACTGTCTTGAGGTTTTCAACTCATTCAAGGGATACTCAGACCTGAACATACAATATGTCTCAGGGTAAAATGTTTGTCATGTTTTCACTTAACCAATGCAATGAGCTACAGAGACTGTGCAGTGAGTAAGGTCAGCAGCAGGTTCATATTTGACACCCATCCTGCATGACTAATATGTAAATAGATTTTAAAAGCTCTGTATGCTCTGCAATGAGACAGTAAAATGGGTTTTTTGCTTGTCACAAACCTGGGGAAAAAAATTCCCTACTTTGACACTCTACTTATTAGTTTACAGACAATCTACTTTCCATGTCTGTTCAGTATTTCTTTTGGAAGAAGTCTAATTTCCAAGATCATTTCCCCATTGAGAAAACAATATGCCCTATTGGAATGTCAGAAAAACAATAAAGCTATATAAATGCAACTCTTTTTTGCTCATAGAAATTACACTTGAATTGTGAAATGTTACATTAGGTTTCAAATTTCCATTACAAAATCAAGTGAAATTTTTACCCCTTTCCTTGCAACCACATGTTTTTCATTTTGCTGTGGGAAACTTCGCTATTTCACACAAAAGGTCAACCATTTACTGTAGTTGTGAGAAACCAGTTTCTTGTTCTGAAGGATTTATCACCTTTCACAAGTTATATGGAAGGATTAAAATGGGTTTTTAAATCAAAATTGCATTTCAGAAACACTTGTTTTCTTAAATTAATAATATACATGGAAAAGTTACTCAGTTCTGATTGGTTAAGATAAATGCAGTTTTCAGGTAATTCAGTGTTCAAGAGAGTTAATTCAGTGTTCAAGAGAGTTAATTCAGTGCAAAAGAGGGTTAATTCAGTGCAAAGAGAGTAACAAATCAGATATTCTGACCGGTCAATAACCAAAGAAACTCACAGATAGCCAATCAAATGCAAGCCTTGGATGTCGCAACAAAATCTGAAAATTTAAACATTTGCAAGCAAAACAATGGCCAGCGTTTTAAGTCGGTTTTCTTTTGCCACTGCAGATGGAAAACAGCTCAAACAATGAAAACACTGTAAAAAGCACTGCTTTTTGGTTGTTGGTTTGGAAAAAGTGGTTTAGAGAGGGGAAATATCCAAGGAAATAGAAAATTATGAGCTGACCCAGCTTAACACTTCGCTCGAGCGGTCCAATGCCAAAATTAAAAACAAACATGGTTGAACCTCGGAAACGACGATTCTATCTCACTGAAAGTGATTCGGACACAGACAATTCCTTGAACTGTTTAGCCGGACTTTGAACTTTTTTGCACCTTAAAGATGTGAAGATATCATTGCATATTATTGTTTTGATCGTACACGGTTGTTTTGACTGAATGCATGGTTTGAATAAATTATTTTTGCACTTGATGCCCATGCTTTACTTATGCTTAATTATGATAAGCCATCTCTTATTTTTCCATATATATTATTAACACGGAATCACATGATTTTTCTCGTGCAATTTGGAATAAACAAGTACTTGTTAATTTTTTCAAAGACCACAAATTGCACTCACCCTACGGGCTCATGCAATTTTGTTAGTCTTTAAAAAAATTTACTTGTGCTTATTTATTCCAAATTGCACTCAAAATCATGTGATTACCTATACTAACTATTTAATAGAAAGAGTTAGGGAGCTTATTGCATCAGCTCATTGCATCATCTAAGAGTGGTACCACAGCCTTGGACAAAAGATATACATGTATACCACACTTTCATATCAACAGGAGTGGTGACTTCAATCTAATGAAGCAAAAGAACTAGACTTTTAAAAAATTATGGAACAGAAAACGCTTTCAAATGGCCATGCTAGGCCAAGATGTTGAGAAAAATTGCCTTATTCAGAAAATTGCAAAAGGATGAAAGGATTCCCATGGTCTGCTATTTTTTTTTAAGGAAGGGCAATTTGAGAGGTTCACTTGATAGTCATTAAGGGGATTTTTTGGCTTGCCACACTAGCCACAGCCCCAAGTCTTAATGTTTTTAAGAGTGGGGTCTGTGAGCTGAAACATTAAGAACCTTTACGAACCTGACTGAATCCGGGCATATAAGCCTTGTAGAGAGGGAATGCTTGTAATATGGTAAATAAATAGCTGTTCACTGTGGTTGGACAAATTCTAAATATTACACATAAATCAACCAATATTCCATTCCCTTATCTGGTATAATCATTGCATTTGATGACTTGAGGAGAAAGGATATTGCACAGTCCTCTTGATGTGTGACCATATTTACAAATGGAAACTCTAGGGTGAACCTCAATAGGTATTTATGACTTCATTAATAAAACCTGTATATCGTAAAGACTTGTGTCTAAGCCACACCTTTTTGCTTTAATCATGGTTGCGGCTTACGCAAGAGACCATTATTTGTCTCTAGTGTCCAGACTTCCTGTGTGCTTACTGAGTAAACATTTTGCATTGTTCTCCTACACTTTATTTTGTTCAAATTCCATCATTTTCATTTCAGCTGTGGGCTTTAGCAATGAAGACAAATGTTGTTAGCCACAAGGAATAGGTTGATTAACTTATTTATTTTGCTGCAAATACACAACACGAGATTTTGTCAAGTTTATTGGTCAAACATGAGACTGACTGACCTTGAGTGACGTAATTTTCCTGTGAAATGCTTAAATAATTTGAAACTTCCATGATGCCACACGAACCTCATCAACATGCCATCAGAATATTAATTTCTGACTAATTTGTACCCATGTTACTCAAACATCAGAAATTATATTTTCTAATAAGTTGTCTACAGAAAGTTTTTTCTGTATTTAACTATTTATTTATATCATATTTTAATTGTGCACATACCCATGTATCTATAGTTACTGTGCTGTGAGTAATAGTTTGTAGTCTAAATGGTTAAGAATATATGAAAGTCATATATTTGAACTGCGGATAAAGAAGTGAATGAAAGTGATCCTCGCAGTAATTTTCACTACTTAGGCAGTAGTGAAAATAAGGCCTGAAAAAAATTCAGGCCTGTACAGGATTTGAACCCATGACCTCTGCAATACCGGTGCAGCGCTCTACCAACTGAGCTAACAAGCCAACTGGGAGCCAACCAGCTGGTTGGCTCCCAGTTGGCTTGTTAGCTCAGTTGGTAGAGCGCTGCACCGGTATCGCAGAGGTCATGGGTTCAAATCCCTTACAGGCCTGAATTTTTTTCAGGCCTTATTTTCACTACTGCCTAAGTAGTGCAAATTACTGCGAGGATCACTTTCATTCACAGTTTGTAGTCTGTAAACATTTTTTTGCAGATTCTTGTGATAGGACTTAATGGACTCACAGAGAGTAACAACATCTGTAATCACAAGTATGATTACAGATGGACTTGAATATATATATATATATATATATATATACATAATTTATATGATTTTCATATATTCACAGTCATATATTACAGACGGAATTGGAAAACATGAAGTCCTATTACCAGTCAATCAAAACTATAACATAATTGGGGAAACAAAATGGCCACCAGTAAATACATTTTCATAATCTAAAGTTAACTCGGTGAAATTCACAGCAAACAAAATGCTTGCTGTCCCATTATACAGGCAAGATGCATAAACTCTCCTATCACACAATCCAATTACAAGCAATGGATACACTGTCCTATAAGTGGTCCAATCACATTCAAGGATTTTGTGGTAGTGTTCATTATAATTGTGAGCATTTCTGAGTGCGAATAGGGTTTCAACTGTTCAAATGGGGCGTCAAGGAAGAAAGAAAGAAATTGTGGTAGTTACTTTGAGATGTTTGTAGTAATAGCAATGTGATACAAGTAGAGGTGTAATATAGTGCAGTAATGTATTGGTGTCATAAGTAAAATTGAACCAGATTTGAACAAGCAGAGGAACAAGTTGATCATTGCCCTTACCTGATTTGAACTTCATCTAATGATAATCCAGATGGACATTGGTAAAATAATCCAGGGTGAGATCCACTATCAAGGCCCCTAATCCCCAAAATGTAATCAATAATTCTTAACTATGTACACTGTAAGTAACTAAAGCACCTCAGATTTGTTACCTCCTCTTCATCATAGATGTATTAAGGACATTCCAATTTAATTTGTGCCTGAGTGGAAAACTTAAATCCATGAATAAACATTGATGCAAACAAGCATGTATGTTTTATACATAACTGAACTTCCAATGATTTACAGCCAGATAATGATGACGATGATGTTAATGGCATATCTCATGCAAAAGTTCATGTAGAGCTGTACTAAATACAAAGTTTAACTTACACATAATACTTATAAATGTTGCATTGCAAGAGTGCCATTTTACATAACATAACAAATTGACTTATCATTTTACTATGATGTATTTTGGCCCCCTTTTGCTAAGATTTGATTCCAAACAAATAACCTTAAGTACTGGCAGATTACCTACTGCAAATGTATTTGATCATAAATACCTCAAAAAATGAAATCTTCCTTGGTCCTCATTCCATACATATCTGAGGTACTTGTGGCAAAAGTATTTTCTCTGTGATATCTGCATGAGTTAGGATAACAAAAAATTAATGATAAGTAATCCTATAATTAATACCCACAATTTCTAGACTTTCCATAGGAAGCCTGAAATAATAATTCAAGATTTAAACATTTTTTTTATCTTTTGACCATGTGATTCCAATGAATGAAACTTTGGGTACTAAATGTCTTTTTTCAATTCTGCACCTAGCTATCTCTTAGCAGCAGTTGCTGTAACACATGGAAACTTTGCAAAAGTTGCAGACTAACTATATGTTTTTTTTTTTTGGGCCTTATTTCCACCACAACTTAAAAATAAGTAATGTTCATTACGGCCAAAATCACTTCAAATTCATTTCCTAAAAAGCACAGTTGACATATATGATTTCCATATAGTTATTCATTGATTCATCACTTTGTGAGGTTTAATGCAAATCAATATAATGACCAGCTCCCTGTTGACTTGTTGGCTCAGATGGATACTAATAATAATAATAATAATAATAATTTATTTACTTATATAGCGCCCTTTAACATTTATGGGATGATCAAAGGCGCTTTACAATCCAAGAAAACTAATATTACGATAAATAATTACAATAAAAATGCTATTTACAATAGGTAATTACAATAACAGTACTAAAATAAAATAATGATAGTAAATGAATACATAATGAAAGAATGAATGAATAAAAAGTAAATAAATAAGATACAAAATACTCATAAGATTGCAATGCGAATCTAAAATGCTTGCTTAAAAAGATAGGTCTTAAGAGATTTCTTAAATAGCGCTAGCGAATCAATCGTGCGGATGTGCGCAGGCAAGCTGTTCCACAGTGCAGGCGCAGAGGCATGAAACGAGCGGGCACCCAAAGTTGTGCGCATAACCCCTTTTGGGCATTCTAAAAATATTGTATCATTATTGCGTAATGAATACCTAGACGATGATCTGATACAGATCAGATTACTTAAATAACTAGGAGCCATGCCATGAATCGCCTTAAAAGTAATCATCAAGATCTTAAATTGAATATGATAATTTACTGGCAGCCAATGAAGGTTGTAAAGTACCGGTTTAATATGATCAAATTTCATTGTGTCCATTATAAGCCTGGCTGCCATATTCTGTATGCATTGTAATTTCGATAGTTGGTACTTGGGTAACCCATATAATATATTATTGCAATAATCCAGCCTTGAAGTTACGTAAGCATAGACTAATGATTGCCTATATTCCTTAGATAAGTATTTCGATATATGCCTAACGCTTTACCCTGCAAGCCAACAATCTTGGTCAGCCGATCCAACAAGGTGGAATGATCGACCGTGTCAAACGCCGCACTAAGATCCAAAAGGATCAACAGGGTCACGTGTTGTGAGTTCATTTTCAGAAGAACATCGTTCATGACTTTGAGCAAGGCCGTCTCTGTGCTATGGTGTTCATGATAAGACGACTGCAGCTCTGGATAGATGTTATGGGTGACCATCTGACCATGTGTCTGTATGAACACAGCCTTTTCTGTAAGTTTGGAAATATATTGTAAATTACTGACTGGTCTGAAATTCTGAAAAATCAGTCCGAGCTTCTTCAACAGGGGATGGACCAAGGCACATTTCCACTGGTCAGCAAATATACCATTCTGCAGTGAAAGATTAATGATCTTGGTTAAAACAGGGAGCAGAGTGTCAATACAGGCGACAAGAAGGGGAGTTGGCATAGGATCAAGTGCACATGACTTCTTGGGCATGGCCTCAATCAATTTCCGTACTTCATGTTCAGTGAGCAGAGTAAAACTGGTCATTGGCTCAATCGAAGATACTTCAGGCTGTGAGTCAGTATTACTAGGTGACACGTAAGCTGACACTTCATCAAGCTTACCCTAAATGGTGACAATCTTCTGGGCGAAAAATTCACCGAACTTATTGGCAAGAGCAGCTTTGTCCTTAAAAGGTGGATATTGAATATATCCATATATATTGAACTACCAACCAGGTTTCAGTAATTGCGAAAATATCTGCAGCACACGATTTAGCATAGCACAGAAAGTCAGCAGATTTGCTTTTGATAGATCTTGCATTCAAATTACAGTTTCATTAAGTTAGTTCGAAGTGAAGAGCACTGTGATATATCAATAGGAACGTCTGTGAGCGTGCGAAATACTGGCCTGTTATAACCAGAGGTGACAGTCGGCCGCATTGTAATCAGCGATGGAATTCCAAACCTTGCTCCCAGTCCATTATTTGATGGGCTTATTGTTTGAGTTGAACTTGAAATATGCAAATTTCCGCCATGAACCAGATTTTGACTGCCAGAGCAGATATCAAATAAATCGTTTGTAGGACCTGGATTCCTAGAAATATCCATCAAGACAGTAATATCCAGCGGGGGGTCATGTCCAGCAATAACTAAACAGATAGAACTGTGTTTCGACCATCTAGCTAAGGAGAATTGCATCAGTATTGCAAAGGTCGTGGGTTGAATTTTTTTAAAGGCCTTTTGTACCCTACTACCTTAGTAGTGATCATCACTGTGAAGTTCACTTTTTAAAGGCCTTTTGTATCCTACTACCTTAGTAGTGATCATCACTGTGAAGTTCACTTTCATAATCATTTCTTGAAAACTGCAGCTAACACATTTCATACATTCACAGTCATTAAAAGAGGAATGTTTACAAAGTCTGAAAAACAATCGAGTTGCACAGATTTGAAAAAAGTTTGTTGACTTTTACCGTAGTGAGTTAAAAAACTCCACAAATTCGTAATAGCCAAAGACTATCTTGTATCATTAAATTAAAGATAAAATAAGTTTTATAATCTAAAAGGGTAGGGAATTTAAGCAGTCTTCACATAATATCTCCCCTTTGTGCTACAGAAGCTGTTCTCCACACTTTTCCCTGTATACCCTTGAGGGGATGAGTGTCCATGGCAAGATAACTACCAGGCAGGTACCATGTATTCCAAGATTGGACATACAGGGGAAAGGTACAGTGAGGAAAAAACATTTGCATTAGTGTTCCTAACAAAAATTTGATGTAATGAAGCACTTTGCTCACTTTATCCATAATTATTTTAATATCATTGCTCCAAGAGAGAACCTTTGATATTGTGACACCAAGATCTATGAAATTGTTTACATGTTCCAAAAGAATTGGTAACTGACTCAACATTTTTTAACCGGTTGAAACATTTTATCTAATTAAACCATTTTAACTAGTTGGACTTTATCATCTAGTTAGACTTTTCTGACAGATTCAACCATTTTATCTTGTTCAAGCTCTAACAAAAGTTGAAAGATTTTATCTTGTTAAACATTTCAACCTGTTCGACCATTTTGCCTAAATAAACCATTTGAATTATGGTCCAGTTGCTACCATGCACTTTTCCTACCAGTCTGATCACTACCAACCACAGTCTGATCACTACCATGAAGAAGTTCGATCACTACCACTGGATGGCCACCAACAGAAAACATCAATTTAACTTAGTAAAAAGCCACAAAGATTTAAAAAAGAAAATTTCTGCAGATTCAGGTAGACCATTCTGGCTCGTTGGACTCTCTTATCTGTTGAAACTTTACCTGTTGGTCTATTTTATGTAGTAAGACTGTTGCTTTGACCGTTTTATTTAGGTAGACCATTTTAACAGGTTAGAACATTTTTCTTTGGAAGATCATTTTAGCTGGTTGAATCACTTTATCTTGCTAGCCTATTTCATCAGACTGGACCATGTTAGGCTAAACCATTTTATACCACAAAACCAATTTAACTTTTTGGTCAAAACAATTTAGCTGGTAGGACCATTTATTATCTAGGTAAACCATTTTCAGAGCTTAGACCATTTTATTTTAGTTAGACCATTTTCACATTTCCATCTGGTTATCCCATTTTCACCTGTTGGACTATTCTACCTAGCTAGACCATTGAAATGATTTACCCTCATTATCCAGTTAGACCATTTAAACAGGTTGGAGGATTTCCACAGTAAGACCATTTACACCTGTTGAACTATTTTATCAAGTAGGTACACCATTCTAACCAGTTGGACCATCTTATTTAACCATTTATCTGGTTGCACCCTGTTATCTTGTTTGACCATTTATACAAGTTTATCTGGTGGATAATTTTAACCTGTTTGACCATTTTACCTTGGTAGACCATTCAAACTAGTAAGACCATTTTCACAGGTTACCAGTACATCCTCTTGTCTGGTAACAGCACTTTTAAAATAGGTTGGACTTCGACTGCTTATTAAGCTATTTCATCTTGTTAGACTCAAAATTTCCAAGTCAGGTTTCGATTCCTCTCAAATAGAATTAGACCTTTTGGAACTCAAAATGACAAGTAAAAATGCTGCAGAATATTTTGCTTGAAAAATGATGGATATCAAAGTCTTAAAAGTGACAGAATAAGCTTCTGAGTCAACGACACTACCATTCTCTGAAGTGATACGAATTGTGGCCTTTAAGTGACAACCAAACTCTCAGACTTCAAGCAACGCCAAGGGACAATTTGAAGATTCTATGGCCTGGAAAATGCTATGTTTGAATAATGATATGTTAAAAAAGTATTGTTTAACACAAGATTTTGTTAAACTAATAGAGGCCACTTCTATTGGTTGACAAGTTATATCTGTTAGGACATCCTCACCAGTTGGATCATTTTCTCTAGTTAGACCATTTATCCAAGAGGACCAATTTATCTAGTTAGACTATTTTAACCAATTGCAACATTTTATCTAGTTATTCCATTTTACCCATTTACACCATTCAGTCATTTTACTTAGTCAGACCAATTCAACTGGTTCGGACATTTCATCTGTTAAGATCATTTTAACCATTTCCACCATTCTTTCTAGTTAAACTACTTTAACCAGTTGGAAAATTTAACTTAGTAAGACCATCCTAGCCTGTTGGACAATTTAATTTAGTTGTCCATTTGAAGCAGTTGGACCATTTCAACCACCTGGATGTTTTTACCTGGTTAGGATGTCATAACCTAGCAGACCATTTTTATTAGCTAATTAGCGAATGTAAGTGGCTGGACCGTCTAATCTAGCTAGACCATTTTTTTAGTAACAGCATTTTAACCTGTTGGACTTTTTTTCTTAGTTAGACTATCTTAGTCAGTTAGACAATTATATTTAGTTCCACCATTTTAACAGTTGTACTGTTTTATCTCCCTAAACCATTTAACAGATTGAACCATTTTCGCTGGTTACACAATTAAAACCAGTTTTGATCACTTTCTCATGTTAAAGCATTTTAACCAGTTGAAGGGTTTATCTGCTTAGATCATTTTACCTTCTATAATCATTTTACCTAGATATACCTATTCCACTGGCTGAGACATTTCACCTGATGAGACCATTTTTACCATTTCCATAATTGTTTTTGGTTAGACCACTTTAATTGGTGGGACCTTTTAGCCTGGTAAGACCATCTTAGCCTGTTGGACCATTTTATCTAGTTGTACCATTTTAAGAGTTTTTTTTCTGAGGATATAGAGAAGTGATGGACAGGCCAAAAAATCCAATGTTTTTTCATATTTTGCCATAAAACCCATGACCATTCTTGTCATATTCAAACAGAAGATCAATGACTATGCTTTATACTTCAAAACATTTCACAGCAGAATCTCATCCCAGTATCCCCTTGTAAACTTCCCTAACCCTAAGCAATGTGGCCCACAGGGTAATGCTCTCTAACAACCAGCTCTTTAACAAAGTTCCATTCAATTCTGCATTTTGGATGATTGTGTTTTCGCTGCCATCAATCATTTTAACAGCCCTTTTAGGAAACAACTTTAATGGGCTCAAAAGGTCATGGTTTGTGATTTGTGATTGGTGGGTTTCAATCCGTTTTGTGTGTTTCTGTGTTTCAAGGTTCGTCGCTTGTGATTGTAATTATGATTGATGGCAGCGAAAAACGCAATTGTGAAGGTGGCTTTTGCACAATAGAGTTTGCACATTTGTGAAAAGCACAGTAAAGATTGCCAGGTGCGTTCACCACCCTTGGTTGAGCATAAGATGTACATATACAGTAGAGCATGACTGTAATGTGACTTTAGAATGAACTTTAGATGTGCGATAAAATATAATTTTCAGTTTCTGTATTGAACTAAAACTCTTTGTGTGTGCTTCCTTTTGAGTTTTTTCCCTAAATTTTGAAGGGGACAAATTGTCCCCTTGGCTGCTTTTTTAAGGGACAATTTCAATTGCAGTGCAGGATTGACACAATGGGGCAGTTCCTGGTTTTTTTTATCAAATTGTCTTACTCTAACAGTCACTAGGGAGGTCCTTCAAAAGATGGGCAACTTCAATTGCTAAAAAAAGTGTCTGGTATGTTTCATTTGATAATGAAAATGATATGTAGGTTAACTTCAACTGGTTTCTCCTGACCTCACCGGCAACCATAAAGAGCCATAAGGTCTGAACCTTTCCCAGTTGAACCATTATTGCCTGTTAGACCAATTAAACCTTTGCCCCCTTTGTAACTAGACACACAGATATGGATAAAGGGTCACGGTTTAGGCAATCTTTGTGCTTGCACTTGATCAGCAACCATTAAGTTTTGCCCAGACATGAGAGAGATTAAAAAAGGAATAGAGTGTGTCAAGACTTTTACTACTCATTGTAGTTAAACCTTTTTAACTGGTTCGTCAATGTTGATCAGATAGAAAATTTAATCTAGCTAGACCAGTTTTATAACTAGTGGAACCATTTCAGCTAGATTTAGTTCAATCTTTTTTCACCACTTGGACCATTTCATCTATTTAGATCATTCTAAGGATTTGCACCATTTTACTTCTTAACACCATTGGAACTAGTTACTAATATTAATTCTTTTTTGGTCAGACAATACTAACTGGTTGAACAGTCTTGTAAAGCATGGCTTTAGAGTCCTCATGTTAAGGGGAAACAAGGAGAGAAACATAGAGCACTCATCTTGAAGAAACAGATACCTTAAAACAGCTGAGAGAAGGAAACAAAAAAGGTTCAAAGAGATTTGCTGAGCTTCTGGATGCTATAGTTGTGAGCCTCACCAAAGTAAATCAGGAAGCAGAACTTGGAAATAGAGTACTCTACATCTCTCTAGCATGAGTTAAAGAAGGCTCTTCTTGCAAAATACAAACAATAGGTTTGCAATGACCACAGGACTGAGAATGTTAAATTGTTGAGGGAGTTCATTGACCAAAGAGGTAAATTTTATGACCACAGCTTCTGAGAAAATAATTGGTGTTGTTAAAGAATGATTGAAAAAAAGAGAGGATCTTCTTTGCCAAGGAAGAAAGTTATAGTCCTAGCCAAAGGCATGTGAAGTCCAAGATATGTGACCAACCCAACTGTGGGTCTGTAAAGTAGCTGGGTGTCAGTCTCACCACAATCCGTTGCTTCATGAGAACGTCAGAGCAGGAGTGAACTTCAAAACAAAACTGTTTAAATTCACCAAGTGCATCAACAAGCAACTCCAACACATTAGGGGAGTTTCTTCAGTGAACACTCACCAGCAAAACTGGACATAAATCCTCACTGTCTTCTGAGTTTGTGAATTGTCCCAGTGTACCTGACCAGTGGAGGACAAAGGTTGAAAATAAAATAAATGTTCTTCTGGATGAGATTCTGTCTTGCTATGGAAGGCTTGGCTTAACCAAGTGTCTACCCTGGGAGACCAGCCATCCTATCATTTTCCCTCACAGTCAATGGATCATGACCAAAGGATACTCATGACAAGAACCTACATGTGGGGACTACTCAGGTTCTGGCAGAACTTTCAAAGTAAAAAAGTGGGAAAAGGAATGCATGCGGCCTTGAAGAACAAAACCACCACAGCAAAGCAGATTAAGGCACCTTTACCTGAACTGTACACTCAAAAGTCCTAGAGACCTTTGGTAAAAAATCAGCTGACTTTGGTAGACCATTTACCACTAGACAAGGGAGAGGAAATATGCAACTGAAATATATAGTTGGACCTCCATTATCTGGATTTCTCAATTATTCGCACTTTTTCTGTGGCCCCAATTTTGTCTTGAATATTTATTAGTCATGATCAAGATCCAAAGCCATATTCTTTTTTAAAACTACAGCATTGAAAAGTGAAGTTAAGGCAAGTTTGATTTGCTTTCAAAAAGCAAAAGCAGCACTCACATGCGTTGTAACTAATGAAGAACATTTGGAATAAGTTCTGGTTGGCTTAGAGTTGCTTTGTTACTCAATGAAAATGAGCTACCAACTTTGCCACAGTTGTCCAACGAGCAGATTTTAGATAGCATTGTTGGACAGTTTTCTTTTGAAGATGAAAGTAGCAGCAATGAGGAAGATGAAGGTCAAGATGAGGAAATTTTTTCAAACTCTGAAGCTGTTGAATGTTTTAAAAAGTGTTTATTATAGACAGAAAAACTGAACAATGTTGACGCTATCCAGATTATGCAGCTTTGAAGAAAGACTGAACTATTTTGGTAGTATTCACAATAGACAGTGAATATGTAGACTACTTTTTTTTTTTCAGAACAATTTGTAAACATTTTTTCTCACCATTAAATGTCGATTTCTTAGTTTAATCAGTTTTTGTTCCTCATTAAAATTCATATTCTCAATTATCCAGACCCTCCAATATATGGACTATTTCGTCTATTCCCAACGAGTCCAGATAATCAGAGTTCAACAGTATATCTGTGCCTATTTGCATGCTAGGGACTAATGCTGTGTACCTTGAACTATATGTAGCCTTCAGCCTGAAAATTGACTCCTTTTTAAATGCTTTCTCCTCAGTGGCCTTCCACCACGGCTAAAGGCTACATATAGTTGTTTGAGACAATGCATCAATTTTGTTGGAAGAAGTAAGGAGCTGAAGGAGTTAAAAGCTTTGGATAAGAGGGAAATTCAGGATGCCACAACAAGTTATGGAGTTAATTGCCACTTCAACCCCCTTTTGCACTGTGCATCAGTGACATGAATGAAATTGTGATGAAGGCAGACAAGAGGGCTATTTACTCTATTACTGGTGCAAGCTACTTCATTTGCTGCCAAATTGGTTGAAGGTTTATGCCAGACAGTGTAGACATTGTGGCCTTTAACTTCAACAAGAGTTAATTAACTCAACTGCATCATAAGTTTGAAATGGCTTGATTTAATTTCTTAAAATTCACTCAGCAGCAAGGCTTTACCTCAAGAAAGAAAATCTGAAGTTGTGAGAAAATCTATTAACTGCCAGCAAAGCTGTTTTAAAGTATTTCAACATAACATTAGTATAATAAAGGTGATTGCCATGCCATATCCACTATTTCTAACCTTAATCCTTAAGTCAATAAATATGTGAAATTGGTGTGAACACAAAGAGGTGCAGGAGAAAATTTTGGGGCATTCTGAATAAAGCCAGTAGGTGTCTCAGAAAAATTTTCCCAGCTACCTTAAATAGTTGTTCAAAAAGGTTGCTAAAAATTTGATAAATAAAGTTGCTAAAAAAAGTCCCTGAAAAAGTCCCAGAAAAAGTTGTAAAAAAGGTGGCTTGCAAGTAATAAGTTAGAGTTTTAAAAAAAAAGTTGCTGAAAAAGTAGTAAAAATGGTCACTTAAAAATTCACCCAAAAGGTCACCAAGAAAGTTGCATAACATTTTCTAAAATTCATCCCTGCCAAACTCATACTTAGGTGGATGATGATGCCTCCAGTATTTGGCACTATGCATTTATGTACACATGCATGTATACGTCTGTGAAGTTATAATAAACTTACCAAGCCTCCTGAATCTGCCACACCAAGAAGTCTCTGAAAACAACAACAAAATAGCGTAGACCAATGATAAGTAAAAAAATGAGTGCCACACAAAATTATCAAAACTATCATCACCTCACTCTTTCATGGCCAGTGGGCTAAAAGGTTTCTTTAGTAACTGAAGCTTGAAAATAGACATAAAGAATGCTGCTAGCATGGAGGGCATTTTTTGCATAAGCCCTTAAACAAGTTGCAAACTAGTCAACAGAAGTTTAACTCTACATTTTCTTTCAGGTGATAACACCATTAAAAGCGCCTATTCATATTCATAAAAATCAATACAAACATTTTTTTCCATGAATGTACCTAAAATGTACAATTACTGACCTCAGTTTCATCATAATGATTACAATTGTCAGCTTCATCAAACTCTACAGTACAAGTGGAATTTGAATGTGATCTAAAGAGACAAAAATGTAAATTTATCCACAAAAACCCCCAACAGAGAGGGAAAAAATGTGCTATGATCATGGTTCTTACTTAACATATCAATGGCAAAACTAACAGAACACTTGGAAGTTCCTATAATGGGAAACTTTTCTGTCCACTTAGGGGAAGCTAAGATGCTACATCAGTCCTGTATGAACAAGAATAATGTTGCACAGTTTGAACTCTTTCAATATCTATAATTTTGTCAATCTCAAAAGTATCGTATTAAGCACAAAATCTGTTCTACATGTTCTACCGATAGAAAGAAGCAACCCATATCTGTAAACAGGACCATATCAGCACACACGTGTATAAAGTTCATTGTTTAAAATAATTGCATAAAAGTTATTATCTACCATGATCAAGTGAGCTAAATTTTTTGCATAATAGAATCCCAATATACTAGAACTGTTACTTTACATCTAGGATCAAACACCTCCCCAATAACAAGTAAAAATGCTGCCAAATCAGCATTACCTAGAAAAAATGATTAGACTTGAATGGTTACTGTGCCTGTTCTATGGTCATTCCTAATCGACATACAACTGTAAATAATGCTTCATGCCAATGTCAATAAATTGGCTGCTTATTGCTGAAACTGCATACTACCCAAACTGAATTATTTTTTAATTATTTTTACAAAGGAAAGAGTTACAAATGTGGGTAAATATGAAGGATTTCTATAGAAAAATTAGCTGAATGATATAAATAAAGACATGCATAAAAGTTATGAACTAAATCTTAGTCCAAAATATTCTTCATCTTCTTTCATAAACAATGGAGCCAGGTTCAAAGAAGAAAACACTGTATTGTAATTTCCCACAAGAAAAAGAGGGAAAGTTTTTTTCTGCTGGTTTGAGGACACCTTAACCAGTGGTATGAAGAGCAAGGATAAAAATGATTCTCTTGCAGTCTTACATGTAAACCAAGAAATTACTAATCCTAAAACCAATATTTCCACAGTTACACAGTCCCACAGCTTACAATAAATATTGTTCCTATATACCATGCCCAAAATAGGAATCATTTCTCTAGTTTTTTTGCTTAGTACGGAAGATTAAGGTACTAAAAGAATTAAGCTGGTTTGATCACACTTATTTATTTTGCTTGTTTATTCTTGTATTATTCTTGCCCATTATAAGCCCGAAAACGTTACCCGTGGTGAGCGTCTGTACCGGGTACTTAGGTACTAACGTACTAAGGCACTAAACAAATGAAGAACAAGCCGTGATGAGTTGTCCGTACCGAGTACTCTAGTACTAACGTACTAAGAAATAAACAAGCCGTAATGAGTTGTCCGTACCGAGTACTACAGTACTAACGTACTAAGAAATAAACAAGTCGTGATGAGTTGTCCGTACCGAGTACTCTAGTACTAACGCACTAAGAAATAAACAAGCCGTAATGAGTTGTCCGTACCGAGTACTACAGTACTAACGTACTAAGAAATAAACAAGTCGTGATGAGTTGTCCGTACCGAGTACTACAGTACTAACGTACTAAGAAATAAACAAGCCGTGGTGAGTTGTCCGTACCGAGTACTACAGTACTAACGTACTAAGGAAATAAACAAGCCGTGATGAGTTATCCGTACCGAGTACTACAGTACTAACGTACTAAGAAATAAACAAGCCGTGATGAGTTGTCCGTACCAAGTACTAAGGTACTAACCTACTAAGAAATAAACAAGCCGTGATGAGTTGTCCGTACCGAGTACCACGGTACTAACGAACTAAGGAAATAAACAAGCCGTGATGAGTTGTCCGTACTGAGTACTACAGTACTAACGTACTAAGAAATAAACAAGCCGTGGTGAGTTGTCCGTACCGAGTACTACAGTACTAACGTACTAAGAAATAAACAAGCCGTGATGAGTTGACCGTACCGAGTACTACAGCACTAACGTACTAAGAAATAAACAAGCCGTGATTAGTGTCGGTACCGAGTACTACAGTACTAACGCACTAAGAAATAAACAAGCCGTGATGAGTTGTCCGTACCGAGTACTACGGTACTAACGTACTAAGAAATAAACAAGCCGTGATGAGTTGTCCGTACCGAGCACTACAGTACTAACGTACCAAGAAATAAACAAGCCGTGTTGAGTTGTCCGTACCGAGTACTACGGTACTAACGTACTAAGAAATACAAGCCGTGATGAGTTGTCCGTACCAAGTACTAAGGTACTAACGTACTAAGAAATAAACAAGGCGTGATGAGTTGTCCGCACCGAGTACTACAGTACTAACGTATTAAGAAATAAACAAGTCGTGATGAGTTGTCCGTACCGAGTACTACAGTACTAACGTACTAAGAAATAAACAAGCCGTGATGAGTTGTCCGTACCGAGTACTACGGTACCAACGTACTAAGAAATAAACAAGCCGTGATGAGTTGTCCGTACCGAGTACTACGGTACTAACGTACTAAGGAAATAAACAAGCCGTGATGAGTTGTCCGTACCGAGTACTACAGTACTAACGTACTAAGAAATAAACAAGCCGTGGTGAGTTGTCCGTACCGAGTACTACAGTACTAACGTACTAAGAAATAAACAAGCCGTGATGAGTGTCTGTACCGAGTACTACGGTACTAACGTACTAAGAAATAAACAAGCCGTGATGAGTTGTCCGTACCGAGTACTACGGTACTAACGAACTAAGGAAATAAACAAGCCGTGATGAGTTGTCCGTACCGAGTACTACAGTACTAACGTACTAAGAAATAAACAAGCCGTGGTGAGTTGTCCGTACCGAGTACTACAGTACTAACGTACTAAGAAATAAACAAGTCGTGATGAGTTGTCCGTACCGAGTACTATAGTACTAACGTACCAAGAAATAAACAAGCCGTGTTGAGTTGTCCGTACCGAGTACTACGGTACTAACGTACTAAGAAATACAAGCCGTGATGAGTTGTCCGTACCAAGTACTAAGGTACTAACGTACTAAGAAATAAACAAGGCGTGATGAGTTGTCCGCACCGAGTACTACAGTACTAACGTATTAAGAAATAAACAAGTCGTGATGAGTTGTCCGTACCGAGTACTACAGTACTAACGTACTAAGAAATAAACAAGCCGTGATGAGTTGTCCGTACCGAGTACTACGGTACCAACGTGCTAAGAAATAAACAAGCCGTGATGAGTTGTCCGTACCGAGTACTACGGTACTAACGTACTAAGGAAATAAACAAGCCGTGATGAGTTGTCCGTACCGAGTACTACAGTACTAACGTACTAAGAAATAAACAAGCCGTGGTGAGTTGTCCGTACCGAGTACTACAGTACTAACGTACTAAGAAATAAACAAGCCGTGATGAGTGTCTGTACCGAGTACTACGGTACTAACGTACTAAGAAATAAACAAGCCGTGATGAGTTGTCCGTACCGAGTACTACAGTACTAACGTACTAAGGAAATAAACAAGCCGTGGTGAGTTGTCCGTACCAAGTACTAAGGTACTAACGTACTAAGAAATAAACAAGCCGTGGTGAGTTGTCCGTACCGAGTACTACAGTACACACGTACTAAGAAATAAACAAGCCGTGATGAGTGTCTGTACCGAGTACTACAGTACTAACGTATTAGGAAATAAACAAGCCGTGACGAGTGTCTGTACCGAGTACTACAGTACTAACGTACTAAGAAATAAACAAGCCGTGATGAGTTGACCGTACCGAGTACTACAGTACTAACGTACTAAGAAATAAACAAGCCGTGATGAGTTGTCCGTACCGAGTACTACAGTACGTTGGTACAAAAGAGACATGCAGTCCTTTAATCGACCCTAGTACGTTGGTACGCAAGTCATTCATGCTTGTTCGAGAAGTGTAGTTAGTACGCTAGTACGTTGGTACGCTAGTGACATGCAGTCCTCTGTTAGAACGCTAGTACGTTAGTACGCTAGTCATTTGTGATAATTCGCGAGGTGATGTTAGTACGCTAGTACGTTGGTACACAAGAGACATGCAGTCCTTTAATCGACCCTAGTACGTTGGTACGCAAGTCATTCATGCTTGTTCGAGAAGTGTAGTTAGTACGCTAGTACGTTGGTACGCTAGTGAAATGCGGTCCTCTGATCGAGCGCTTGTACACAAGGACGCAGGTCAGTCATGGTTGTCACAGAAGTGGAGTTAGTACGCTAGTACGTTGGTACACACGAGACATGCAGTTCTTTAATCGAACCCTTGTACGTTGGTACGCAAGTCATTCATGCTTGTTCGAGAGGTGTAGTTAGTACGCTAGTACGTTGGTACGCTAGTGACATGCAGTCCATTAATCGAACGCTAGTACATAACGACGCAGTTTATTCATCGGAAAAGTGGAGTTAGTACGCTAGTACGTTGGTACGCTAGTGACACAGTTAGCATACGTACTGATAGTACTGTAGTACTGGTGAACACCGTTAGTACTGTAGTACTAATGAATAAGCAAAAAAACTAAAAGAAATCTTTCCTAAAACGGGCAGCATATGTATTCCTAATTCTAGGACTGGTCAAGTTACTTCAATGCATTAACACAACTAATGATTGTCAAATTTTGGGTTGTAACTGCATATTTTCATGTACCTTTCTTTGTCCACAATGATAGTTTGGATTTCTTCTACAAACCAAGCTCCATAAGAGGTCTGCAAAGCAGTAAGGAGTCACAATAAATACAGACATTTAACAAAGAATCTAGAGCTACATGACTTTGTTATTGTTGGAATTCATAAGTTTAATTAATGTTTCTGTATACTTTATTTCCTTTACTTCCCTATTTTCTTTTATTTTCATAACCTGAAATGAATCAAGGACAATGAAATTGGTTGATAAAAAATTCTTACAAGTCTTGTTTGGAGAATTTGGTGTTGGATCAACTAATAATTCCCTTATTGACATTTTTCTCTATTCTTGTCATTTGTCTGCTTGATATTGTATAGAGAAAATCTAATGGAAATGAAGGGGTTGATAGGATTCATGGTGCGTACAATCAGAAAGGAAGCCTCTTTTTTTTAGGGAACACAGCAGGCACAGGCACAGGTATATAGTTAACTTTAACTTAGCTAGATAGCTTGGTTTTAGAAACTGAGTTGATAATGTAAATTGGCCACCATAAAGAGTCTCTGAGTTGACATTACCCCTTTGTCATTTCCTCTGACAAATGGCTTACGCTTGAAAATGCCACCTTGGAAACTTTTTACAATGGCCAATCTACATTATCAACTCAGTGGATAACTCCAAATTATCTTGCTACAACTCTCCCATGGATGCAGGTCCTCAGTGTCTTTTAAGATTCACCCCCTTTAAAATTTAGCTACATATTCATGCACATGTAACAGCAGCAAATGGTTAAAAACTACTGGACAAAAAAATGTAGTACTTGCCTTTAGGAGCACCTGAGTAGCCTTTTTTAAAGTACATGGAGAACATTTGAACTTGAGAGCCCAGTCTGGACGCCAATAGGCAACAAGAAAAATAAATCCTCCTGTGCAGCACCCCAGCAAGTAATAAATGATGCTCTGGAGGAAATCGAAATGAAAGGTACAAACAAAGTGACAACTACATATGGATACCAATCAGAAGATAACATTCAAGAAATGGTCTTCTCATAAATTGCCACTTAACAAGATGATCAACAACCAAAAATTTTGAAATTCATGCTTTGTTTATATTTTGTAAATGTAAACTTTATTGAGGCTGAATAGCATACATGCAGCAAAGTTTGGTACCTACAGAAGTTTCTTTATACTAATTGTAGTTTACAGAAAACAAACAATTAATTAGGAGAAGTATATGTATTGTTTTGTTACAAGCTGATATTTAATTTTATTTATCTCCAGGAGTTTATTTAGGCAAGAAGAAACTGTTTTTGGTTGCTGTACTTGTAAGAGTAGACCACCCTCATCACTGAACTTTTTCTTTCCAGGGTAAGACCAACATATGATGGACAAGTGAAAAACAGATCAGAGACCATGTTTGTCACCTTCTTTGAAGTGGAAGTCAGTGCTTGAAGCAATTCCAAATTCTGCGCATATGCATGTGAACGATGGCATATCATGGTTATAATTTATCTGGCTGAAAGTTGGGTCATCTGGAAGAACTGATTCCCTCTGAATTCCACTCATCTCAAAAAGAATCTTTTTGACTGCGAAGTAGATGTGAAACATCAGAAATGCCTTGATCTGTTCTGGACCTTATTGAGAACTTCACAAGATATTCCACAACCTGTAGTTGTGCACCATACTGTGAAGTTGAGCTGTTGAGGCCAGTGGCTTATATTTGGCCCAGTGAGCCATCTCTTTGATTCTGTACCTGAGGTGTGCTTTGTGAATATTCCTCTGAATTTTACATTGAAGTATTGATTTGGGGTAACAAAGATCTTAATCTGTTCATTCAAGCAGCTGACAAGATTCTCATAAAATGGAACTATGTTCTTTCCTATGTGGCTAGCCCCTTAAGGGCCTGGCAGAAGCCTCAGAGTGAGTTTCAGGGGGAAACCTCCAATTCCAGCTGCCTTCTTCATGATATCATCCCAATATCTTCTGTCTGATCTTGAGATGCTCATCTGAACTCCATCTGATCGATTTAAGTAAACTTCAGCTCTTGCCCATCTTTTATTATTCCACACTTTTGTCCTTGCTTTATCTGCAATTTTAATTGCTTCATCTGATCTTAACCACACAAGCCTCAAAGGGGCTGGCTATAGATTGGCAAGCCTTGAAGAGGCAGGCCCTAAAGGGGTACGCCCCAAAGGTTCGAAACTCAAACAGTTAAACATTTTTATTGCTTTTATAATCAAAATGGTTGTTCTGACAATTATTGCAGAGTAAAATGATCACAAGGTTCACTTCAAAGAACCACCCAAGAGCAGCAGTGAAAAGTATAAACATATCAGGCTTGTGAGCTGTTCTTATTGGTAGAATTGGAAGCAAACTGGAGAAATCTCTGTATTCGATTCTCAGGGCAATCCAACTGTAAAGAAAATTCCAGAAGGTAATTATTCCCTCAAAAGCCTCTGCTAAGCTATTCAAGATACATTGAGGAGTGAAGGAGTGAGGGTTGAAATAAATACTCTGAAAGGAGTTTTGGAACTCTAGAATCCTCAAAATAAGCATATCCTTCTTGACAATGATCTGGCTAATCTTCTTGGAATTAAATGACATTTTCAAACCATCAACTTATCCAAAAGATTTAAATCATTCACCAGCAACCCTGTCCACTGCAATCTTTTGGATAAGAATGAAAACATATTCAATGGAGAGCCCTCAAGCATTCTTGGATGCTTCGACATTGTTGGGCAACCCTTTGATGGGTTCGCTATCAATCTGAAATTCCAACCCACCAAAAAATATCACCAAGGAATCACATCACATCTATGCAAATTTTCATGACTGATGAGAATATGGAGATCATCAATTTCAATGGGCTTCCTTTGAGATTTGAGCTGGAAATAATTTGACAAAAAAATTGTTTTCTGAAAATATTTTGCCAAGCACTTCAAGCTGGGGGCCACCCAAGCACACCACCACTGGACTGCTTGGATTGCTTGGAGAGCAAAGCACTTTGAGCCAGGGACCACAAAGTGGTCCAAGTGGCACCCTGACTCAAAGAACCTTTATCCTTCTCTCCCAGCAGATGCCGAGGATTTAAGGTTCAAAAAGATTTGTAACTACCAGAAGGAACTTGAGAATGAAATCAGTATTACTGCTTGATCAAAAACATCAGCAGGTTACTCTCACAACAAGTCACAAAGCACGATGGTTCATTGTTCATCTGTCTAGGATGTTTGAGTCACTTTCAAAATGAGGAAAAATTAGCAATTCTCCATCTATACTGCTCAAACAATGAGCATCGACAGTTGTTGATGTTGCAAGCAGATTCAAGGCTGCTCAACCTCTCTCCTCAAGACTCTTCTGACAGAGGTCTCAAAGGCTTTTCAGACAATCTATAAGCCTAGACCATTGAGATGGCCAAAAGTTCTTCAGGTTGATCTTGGGCATGAATTCATGGGTGATGTCAGAAGAGAAATGCCAAAGCATGATGAGAGGATAAGAAGGGGGAATGTGAACATTCACAGGGATCAGGGAATCATTGAGCAATTCAATCAAACTTTGGGTGAATGCCACTTCACTTTCCAATACAGTCAAGAGATGAACTTCAAAGAGGGATAAACTGAAAAGGTGAAGAGGCTTCCAGAAGGATCAACAATATACAAAAGAAACTGTTTGATTGGAAATGGACTCATTCAAAACATTTTTCTTTCTCTTAAAAAAAGGTAGAGAAGTTGTCATTGGGGGAACAAGACTAAAAACATTAAGTATAAAAAGAAAACCAGATTTCAAATTTGTTTCTATTGATGTTAAACCTTCAGCAGGATTCAAGAGAAAAGCAAACCCAACAGAAGGAGGAAAGTGGAAAATTGTCATCTGTTACTGGAATATGGATAATGATGGAAAAGCTATAATAAACTCTTCCTCTTTCTAGTGTGATGGAAAAAAGCTCCTTTACTTTAGTGCAAGAGGAATCAGTTATAATATATAACAATTGTATGGGGGAATTTTTCAAAACAAGATGGAATTGATTTTTATGAAGGTTTAAACTCAGACTGTCATACTTTTCTCATTTACAAAGACACTCTTTTAACAGAAGGGTTTACTAATTACTGACAGCACCCAATGGTGAAGTTTTCCAAGTCCTTTTTAAGATTTCCATTAGCAATGGATGTATCTGATGGGGGAAAGGACATGTACAGTTCAGAGTTATTGACATAGCAGGCTGATTTGCAATGCAAAGGGACAGACAGGGATCATCTAATATGTAAACAGTAACTAAGATTGAGCCCAATAATTAATGTTGATTACTGTAGGACCCCCTATATTAATGGAAGAGCCTCAGAGATAGTATATTGGATACATACTCTTTGACTGCAACTAACAAAGTAGCTAAAAAACCAATCAAGACTTTGGGAGGCAATACTAACTTGCTTGTAGTTCTGTAGTAGAATGTCATGTTTAATACTGTGAAAGGCCTTTGATATATCAATTAAAACTAGAGCATGCAGAGACCTTTTTATTATCAATTCCATTTAGCAAATCATCTGCTATATGGTGAAGCTGAAATACAATGGTTTCAGTTAAACGAAGCCTGCAGTTACCAATTAGAGATTATCTACTTTTACATTACCAGCTGACTTGCTTTGGAGTCACCAAACTCAACTTCAAAATCATGAAATATTTCAAAACTAAGTTGTTATTCTTACCTTGAAAATGTTAGAGCAATATCCAAAACAGTCCTGTAAAAATAAATCATAAATGAAACAAAGGAAATTGTCAACCAAACTCTAATTGTCCATAACTTCTCATTGTATTCTGTTTGTAAATCTAGTGTTCCTTCCATTAAATTGAGGCCATTTGTTCACTTCCTACCTTGACAAAAAAACAATTTTGAAAAAACAAGTTTCCAAGACATCTACATACAGTACAAAATATTCATACATATTATCTGAAAGGTTCAGTTAATAATTCTCAGAAAGCTGCATGTTACGAAGGGTTTTTATGTTTAAATCAGCCATTATTTTGTCTCTGCGGAAATAAATTTGAAGAATGTAGAACAGAAGGTCTAATGTTGACTGTGAAAGATAAAGCATAGAGGTCAAGATTATTGAACCAGCATGAGCGGAACTTCTCTAAAACACAAGTGGGGAAATCTTTACAAAAAAAATATGCTTGAAGCAGCTTCAGAGGGAATTGGTAAAAAAAAAACCCCAATACCTGTGAACACTAATGTTCTTTGTGCTGCTGAAGCAGTGTGTATTTTTCATAAACTTACAACATTGCACTACTCAACACTATGCAAGTTCACTCTTGCAATTTTAATGTCACCTTCATGTGGTAATCACTGATAGCAAGGTGCTGTTGAAGGTGCTGTTGCTATGCAGGGGTGTTGGGAGTACAACAAATTCCCTTCATATATGGGAATAGTCCATTTCACAGTCGTGTGCTTAGTTGCCAAGCCTTAGAATAGAAGTGAGGCTGAGGTTGACCTTGTTATGATACAAATGTTGCTGCTTTTCAAATGAAAATTACTTTGTTATCAGGCTAACTAGATACTGGTCTCTATCACAACAAGGTCACCTACAGCCTCACTCCCAATCATATTTGGATATGATTTGATATTTTTTCTTGTCCTTAAAAGTGCTAAACAGAAGTCTATTTAGTTCACTGAGTTTAGGATTCAGAAGACAACCTGGTTCATTCTGAAGAGAATGAATAATTATTGGTATACCTTTTACAAGGCAGTTTACAAAATGGCTTGGGCACTGGCAAAAACAGGTAGCTTAATGTGACTAGCTATCAAATTTGAGCCACCCAGTTGTGGGTCTGTGACTAGAGCAGTTTAGCTGCCAAGTTCCAATCATGTCATGCTTCATGTTTTAGACAGTCAATAAGATCATTTGTTTTCCCTCCACATGCATCATGAGGATCAATATGTGCGCACAAATGAACTCTTGTTTCGCGCACAAGTTGTTGCTACTATTTTATAGAAGACTTGGATCAAGGTGTGTGTAAATCGATTATTGGATGTACTTGGAAAGTTTGGAGAGCAATTCAAGAAGTTAGAGTCATTCTTGTTGCACTGCCCTCGTGCTATCCAAACTCTTCATGTGCATCAACAACGTGATATATGAGCATGTTAAGTATTCAATCCATTATGAAAAAATAATCTTTAAATATACACATCCTACACGATCTCACCAATTTTTCTCCATCCTCATCGTCTATGTGGCAGTATTTCACATCCATCTTGTTTTTCACATTTGATTACCAAATTCATCCTCTTAACACTTTTTAGCTGGTATGTAGAATGAAATGCGAGGTCTTAAGTTTAATTTCTTTTCCGTAACTCTTTACACTCGTCTTAAAACATGTTACGAGAGGCATTCTGCAATTCCGCAAGGCGTCCGGCCGGTGGCTGGGTAACCACGCCACGGTATAGTTAAGATGCATCGAACACATCCTGGTTAAGAGGGCCAAACAGATCAGTTGAAACGGTCAGGCGGTCGGTCAGGCGTCGTTCAATCCACGAAGATCTTTTTAATTAGTTCAACGTTACTATGCTGTTTTGTTAAGATTCCACCTAATTTCAACAAAAGGTATCGAAATATTAGTTTCTCACCGCGGCCATTACTGATCATCAACGAGAGTTTCAAGAGTGAAAAACAAAGTGAAGAGATTTTTCCGTAAGTAGCAACATCTACTCATAGGCTTTTGGTAGAACTAACTTTGTATTATTACGCTCATTCGGGACTAGATTTAAGCTTACCTTACATTTATTCTTATATTTATTGTAATGTAGCGTTTTTCACACAGTCTCACAAGAGTATCTGTCACGTGATCAGCTAGTCCAGTTTTCTACAATGGCTATAGTTTTTTAGTACACTTATCATGCCCTTTACTTGATTAGCTTGACTTGAAGGCAATTGCTTCAGAAAATTGCATCAAGCAGTGCAGTTTTTATCGTGTGTCCTAAAACGAAGACCAAGGTTATCACTATGGCCAGTTAGGGAAAAGGGAAACATCTATAGTTAGCCAATTAGAACTCTCAGTTAAGACAAGCAAACTGCACTAGGTTCAGGAAAACACAACTAATCCAGTTGCCTTTGGCTCTGGTTTACTTCTGACTGGTTTAGATTGTGAGAAAAGTTTTGTAGACCAATTACAGACAAAAGGAAAGAAAAATGACATTAGATTCTTAAAGATCCAGTAAAAATTTCCCTTGGTGGTTCTGAAATGCAATGCAATTCAGCTCATGACCTCAGCTTAATTTTGATCAACATTGTAGAAGGAATAGAGGCACCAGTGTAAAGCTAATAGTTTGAAGAATGACTGGCTTAGGATTTTGCTTTTTGAGACTCTTGGTTTGAATTTGATGCAACAAAACTCTAGTGGACTTGAAGAAGTCTTGTTAAGTGTCTAAGTGGAGTACTTAAGTGATGTTCAATACTTATGTGTTGATAACTAAACTGACCTAGTTCCATTTTAAGTTTTAACTAATCAACAGTGTTAAGTTATAAGAAGAGACCTTGGAGCTCCCATCCTAGTTTTAGATAACAACTCAAACTTGTTTGTCTTTGTTATATGGGTTGGTCATTGTAGTTGTTGTACTGGTTGGTATAAAAAGCTATCTTGTAGCAATTTTTTAGGCGGAGAAGTACTCTATATGTTAGTCATCACTTGTATTGTACAAAACAAAGTTCCTTTATTAAATCAAATGAAACATGCAATTTATTGGTTGAAAGACAGCAATAGAAATAATAGTTATTGTCATGGTTATTACTAATAATATTAATAAATTACTGCATGTAATAATTTTTCGGCTCAAATATTTAATAGAATCATCAAATGGCCACTGATGTCGTCAAGAAGCAATCAGCTAAAGGATGAAATTCTTAATCAGATTGCAGAGCAGATAAAGGGAGTAAGTGTTGGTTACATGTTTGTCATCACTAGTTTGTTGTTGCAGTGATATTAGACAGGGCGTGAAATTAATTTTTTTTTCTGATAGCCACTTGGCTCCTAAATTCTTCAAAGTGGTAGCCAATTCAAAAAAAGTTGGTCGCCATTTTCAAACACAAACAAACCCCTTTTTTACACTGTCATCATTCTAGAAATTAAGTTAGGGAAAGAATCTTTAACGTGTTGCAAAGTGGACAATAGAATGGATAATATGCAATGTTCAAGCTCACCTAAATCCATCCTAAATCTAGTTATCGATCGAGAGGCATGTGCTGCATTTTGGAAACAAACTTAATGAGGAAGTTTGCCATGGATTTATCTTTGCAAATCTTTTTAATTTACCATATCTCTAGGTAAGGTTATGATGAAACATTCTAGTCGCCAATTTGCTGACTAATTTTTAGGATTTGGTTGCCAAAGTAAAAAATTTAGTCGCATTGGCGCCTGTATTAGGCGCAATTTCACGCCTTGTTAGATTTCTAGAAATCTGTATTTACTAATTCATAATAGTTTTAACTTACTGATTGCTGGCTTTATTTGACATTTAATTTACAATCATTCTTTTATTACAGTTCAAATTATGATGAATGCAGGTACTGCTATTTAAACAAAATTTAATATGTCTTTTCACTGTAATGTGTGACTTTGTGATTATAGTTACAGCTTGGACATCAAACAGCCTTAGATGATGGTAAAACTGACTTTCAGGTCACTGCGAACAATATTCACCTACAATGCTTGTTGGACCTCTTAGATCACTTTCTACTTCATGGGTAAGCCAATTATTTCAAAGGGGTGAAAGTTATCTTGCTCTATATTGATGTGAAAGCATAAAGTGCCTTTCCCAATGATCAATAAATGCTTTCCTGTCTTTCACCTTATTCATAGCTGTGGGGTTTAGATTATTCAAAGTGCTTACAGTAAAAAAGTTGCAAGGTTATATTTCAACTGCCCAAAACAAAAAATATAGCATGCTAATCTTTGTGCTTTTATGGACTAGTCAAGGCTCAATTTTTCATATGCTATGTATTGTTTCATAAGGTAATAAGGTAACGAGGAAAAAATGTATGTGGCAGCATACCTGTATGTGTATTGCTGCCACATACATTTATACTTTATTATCCTATTACCATATTACACCATTATGTATTACTACCACATACATTTTTACCTTATTACCTTTTCACACCCTGTTTTATTGCCACATACATTTTTACCTTATTACCTTTTTGCACCCTGTTTTGCTGCCACATACATTTTTACCTTATTACCTTTTTACACCCTGTTTTGCTGCAACATACATTTTTACCTTATTGCCTTTTTACACCCTGTTTGTTGCCACATACATTTTTACCTTATTACCTTTTTACACCCTGTTTTGCTGCAACATACATTTTTACCTTATTACCTTTTTACACCCTGTTTTGCTGCAACATACATTTTTACCTTATTACCTTTTTACACTTTGTTTGTTGCCACATACATTTTTACCTTATTACCTTTTTACACCCTGTTTTGCTGCCACATACATTTTTCTCCCATTACCTTTTTACACCCTGTTTTGCTGCCACATACATTTTTACCTTATTACCTTTTTACACCCTGTTTTGCTGCCACATACATTTTTACCTTATTACCTTTTTACACCCTGTTTTGCTGCTTCATACATTTTTCTCCTATTACCTTATTACACCCTGTTTTGCTGCCACATACATTTTTACCTTTTTACACCCTGTTTTGCTGCCACATACATTTTTACCTTATTACCTTTTTACACCCTGTTTTGCTGCCACATACATTTTTACCTTATTACCTTTTTACACCCTGTTTTGCTGCCACATACATTTTTACCTTATTACCTTTTTACACCCTGTTTTGCTGCCACATACATTTTTCTCCCATTACCTTATTACACCATATATTGCTGCCACATACATTTTTACCTTATTACCTTTTTACACCCTGTTTTGCTGCCACATACATTTTTACCTTATTACCTTTTTACAGCATGTATTGCTGTCACACACATTTTTCCTTATTCCTTTATTACCCAATTACACCCTGTTTTGCTGCCACATACATTTTTACTTTGTTGCCTTATTACAATTCAGCCAAACCTCGATTATCCAGACCTTGATTATCCATATTTCTCGATTATCTGGATCTTTCCTCTGGTCCCAATTTTGTCATGAATATTTATAAGTCATGGTGAACATCTATAGCCACATTCTTTTTAAACCACAGCATTGAAAAATGAAGCAAAAGTGAGTTTGTTTTGCTTTCAAAAAGCAAAAGCAGTACTTGCACGCATCATAATTAATGAGGAACATTCAAATGAGGTCATATTAGCTTTAAGTTGCTTTGTTGCTAAGTGAGATTTCTTGCTCTATCAGCTTGTTCAGTGTAGTAGGCATGATGAACAAGCTACACAGCATTACAAATTTTTATCCACTATTATTATGTCCTTGAAGTGTAAGCGATCTGTTCTGTAAATAAAAGCTAAACAGTCTATAATTTTGAAATTAGACAAAGGAGAGAAAAAAAGAACCAATTTTTCAGCTGAATATGATGTTAGTACGATCAAATGTCACTTTCTTTATTTAATCACTTTTTGTTCCTTATTAATATTCATATTTTTGATTATCTGGACACTCAATAAATGTACCCAAATTGGCGACTACAACGTTTCATCATAACCTTACCAAGAGATATAGTGAATTAAATAAATTTGCAAAGATAAATCCGCGGCAAACTTCCTCGTTTAGTTTGTTTCCAAAACGTAGCACATGTATCTCGATCTATAACTAGACGCCATCTTGGATTTAGATGAGCCTGAAGGTTGTATATCATACATCCTAGTGTCCACTTTGTAGCATGTTAAAGATCTTTTCCCTAACTTAATTTTGGAGGGTCTATCTAGAACGCTGACAGCATAAAGAAAGATTTTGTTTGTCTTTGAAAATGGCGACCAACTTTTTTTGAATTGGCTACCACTTTGAAGAATTCAGGAGCCAAGTGGCGATCAGAAAAAAAAGTTAATTTCATGCCCTGGGTTCGATTGTATCTATTGCTGCCACAGACATTTTTACCTTGTTACCTTATTTCACCGTGTTGAGCATATGATGAGAGGCTAGGGTTTGAATGAGGCAGGTTAAAATACAGTAAATGTACTTGTATGTTGGAAATCCAACCTGAAGCTCAAGTCAGTAAGGCTTTGATACTGGCTTGTTGCACAAATTAAAATTAATGAAGATTTTAGATATATGAATTTCATGTATTTGGACTGTGGTGAAGAGATGAAATTAAGAGATCCTCACAGCTAAGAACACTACTGAAACGAGTAGTTGACAATAGCACCTGAAAAAAATTCAGGCCCTTATGGGATTTGAACCCATGATCTCTGCAATACCAGTGCAGCACTCTACCAACTGAGCTAAC